AACCTGCAGAGAGACAAAAACAAACAAAAAATAATTGTAAATCGCTAGATTTATGACCAAAAACATAGCCACGAATTATGACGCCGGCCACAGGTGGAAATCGCATGCTGATTTCAACTTGATTTGCTTGCCATATAATTGCAAATTGTATTTGTTTAAACACGTATCCTATACGTAGTACGTATGAACATACATATGTGCACTCGTACACGTTTATATATGTATGTACGTGTATGTATGTTTGGTTTGCTCTGGGGTCCCATGAGTACCACGAAATTGGCGTCCAGCCAACATCGAGCGTCGCATGTTGTTTATGTGTGTCCACAGATCTTTTGTTGCTGCCCCTGCTGCACGCCCACGCCACAGCACACTCCAACATGGGTCCGATCCCCGGCCCCCTCTCCCCTACTCTGGGACGGGACAGCTTTGAATGATTGCTTGACGTGTTTCCTTTGGGGCACCACGTCCCATCCAGCATCATCTCTTTGCTTCGGCATCAAGTGTGTGCTGTTAACAAATTATTTTTTATTAATTTCAGAGTTGTCTGTTTTGTAAAGAAATAATCAAGTCAGGCAGTAATTGCAATTGCCTAAGTAGCGCCTATAAACGGAGTCTTTTGCCTTTTGGCTTATATGCTTACGAGGGAGGATGTGGGTTTCCTTGCAATAAGGTTGGAAATTTACTCGCAAGTCGTATGGTTTGTTTATAATCTTTTTCCGTTTATGACCCACAACTAAGAGAAAAGCGGAACAATAAAATGAAGCACCCCCAATTCGAAGTGAAGTATTCGGGGTGCATAGGTAACCCAATCTAAGCCATCCTCTGGCACCTCTCGCACCTCAGTAGTAATTACATGTCGTACCATTCCTTTGATAGCTCTCGAAAGTCTTCATAAATTAACCAGACCGACAAAAAACAAGAACCGTCTTCGAATTATGATTGGATTCAGCTTCCGCATAACGAACTGCAGCTGCGATCACTATGGAGAAGTAGGAGCATCCAATTTCGCCTCGGGGGCATTTGCCACGTGCGTGCTCCATTTCTTTCTGCTCCTTGCATCGTTTTTCGCTTACTTTTCTGGCGGTTTTTTTGTTGGCCAAAAGGTGCCAATGTGGCAAATGTTTTGTGCTTAACATTTTTATGGCTGCCATAAGTTGGCTAGAATGTGGTAAATGCTGCAGGCGCTGTTGCCACTGGCCAGGAGCAGGGCAGGCGACTGACCACAGGCCAAAACCGAACCTAAACCGAACCTAACCGGACCGGATCGTGTCTTGACATTTGAGGTATCGGTTTCATTAGCGAAATGTTTCCGTAAGAATGCCAAAAGGTCGCAATTGATGCCATTTACAAGGCGATTGCCAGACCATGGCTATGGCCATGGCCATATACTCGTATGTGTTTTTCAATGGCCAAGAGGTAGCCAGAAGCTGGAGATGCCACTCGTTGCACTCATGCTGTAGGATTCATTATATTTGGTGTATTAAGTTTCGCAGCTCTTATCTGGCATCGCAGGCGATTTGTTTGGAAGCCGGAGCTCAATAAATTTATCAAATTGAAAAATGTGTAATCGAAATCAAATCAAAGCGCCTCTACGGTCCAGTCCGGTTGGTATTGGGATTGGGATTGGGGTTTGGTTTTGGTCTTAGAGGAGTGTGTGTTGATTTTTTTATGGAATTGTGGGGGGAACAATTCGCCAAATCGCTTTGCAATCAACTCTCAGCCCAGCCCAAGTTCCAATCCCAGTTCCAATCCCAGTTCCAGTGCCAGTCTCGGGCCCAGGCTCCTCCCCTAACACTGCCTCTATCCGGGCAGGGTATCGCATACAAACGACTTGTGACAAAATGACGAAATTTATGCTTCATTTTTGTATCGGCAAAGTGCAAACCGTTGCAGGGGGCACGGCACGGCGCGGCACGGCTGCGGCTGGCAGTCTGTCAGCAACAAATGCAAAGCGCCAAAAACTGCGACACTTTGTATAAATTGTGTTGAAAACAGCAGTGGCAGCAGAGGCAGTGGCAGTGGCGGTGGCAGCTTCGAGCCAGCTCCAGTCTGTCCGAGACAATTTTGGGCTGAAGCTAGGCTAAAGCTGGAGCGGATCGGAGCAGATCGGCGCTGGCCACACCCCCTCGGGCGAATGCAACAAATTATTGTCATCAATTTTTAGATGCAAAGCTTGAGGAGTGACATTTATTGAAGCATGGTTGGAACAGTGGGCCCCTGGCCAGTCCAGCACGGTCCAGTACAGTCCAGGACGTGATTGCTCCACATTGTAGGCTGAGGCTGAGGCTGAGGCTGGCTGGCCGGCTAGCTGGTTGGTAATGTTGATGATGATTATAGGCACGGCTCGGTCGGGTCCTGGTCTGTTAGGAATGACACGTTCCACCACTGTGGCTGCGGTTGCTGATTGCTAGGAAACGATGGCAACAAGTGGCCATCGGCTGTCCATCCACTTAAATGAGTTTCTTTGCTTTTGTTACTTTTTTTGTTTGTCTCCTTTTGCTGTTGCTTTGGTTTCTTTTATTTTTGGGGGAGCTTTTTCCGATTCTGGCGGCTGCCGCTTCATTAGTAGAGACCAGCAGCAGCCCCCCAAAAAGTAAAAGCCAAAAAAATTATGACCATATTTGTGGTAAATTATGAGACCCTTTCATAAATCAGGCAGCTCTGGACTGGAGCTCTGGGTCTCTATGCGACGACCTAGCGAAAAATGTACTAGATTATGGCTGGACTATGGTTAGTGTGGCACCATTAGCCAGGTACCAGGCACCAGGCACAAGGCATCAGGCACCAGGCAGCCCGTAGAAACACTCACAAATGGTCAGAGCGGCAGTGGAAATTTACATTGTGCCGCCTGCCGCCTGCCGCCGCATGATGCATGGACCTGGACAATTGCAAGTGCTCGACTTACTTTAAACTGTGCCATTTATCATATACAAAAATATTTTGTCAGTCCGCTTTTGGCCTTTTGCCATTTTCACCATTTTCTATTTGGTCATCTTTCGCTTTTCAATGAGACCAGGTCCCAGGTCCGGCCTCATTGTTGTTCCCCCAAAAAAGACTACCGTTTTTGGTGGCATGCAACGCTTGTCTGGGGAGGAGCTGGAGCGTATGCCATGGCTCGTGCATGTCTCGTGGCCAGCAGCAGCAACAACTGGACAACAAAAGCCCCCGAAGCAGTCGGATGTACGATCACTTGCGGCATTACGAGTTCGAGTTGTGGCTTTCCTCCGCACTTCACTCCACATCTCATATACTCGTATGTATACGTTACTTACCTGCGGCATGCGCAGATCTCTATGCCAAACGAATGGAACGGGGCCTCCATGACATTTGGTTATGATCGCCAGGAAGTTGTAATGCTCAGAAATCCATACTCGGGTGTAAGGATCTAAGGATCTCTTCTAAATATCAGGCGGATGGATAGATGTGTAAAGAACCAAAAGTTCTCGGTGTTTTGAAAGTAGTGCTCTGAAAGCAACCAGTATTTTCAGTTTTCTTTATGGGCTTTCGAATGATGTTTCAGGATTGCAAAAGATTCGCTCTATAAGAATCCGCTCGAGCACTCATGAACTCTGAGGCTCAATTCTCAGTAAATTGTCATCTCGTACGCAACCCAGCCAATTAAAGACTCTACGTGACCTCCAGCCGAAACCAAACTGGAGATAAAAACTGATGAAAACAAGAAAAGAAGGAAGACCAACCAGAGAAGACACCAACAAGATTTGCGGCCCTGCCATGTAAAGCTCTCCACGCTGCCACTCTTTTTGTGCTCGACCCGAGAGATACTCTCGGTATGTGCAGCTAATTGACCGTCCAAGGCGGCCCCAGACGATGATGCACTTCATAAAAAAATAAATACAAAAATACCAAAATAAAAAGAAACGGAGGACAAAACGAGGCAGCCAGAAAAAGAGCGAGCGAGCGAGTGAGAATCATTCAAGTGGCGGGGCATTACGTCAACGTCAACTCAATTTGGCAGACGACACACACGGGGCAGGGGGCAGGGGGCAGGGGGCAGAGTCTACGAATGGGAAACTGTGGAGTCTGAGTCCGTGGCCGGGTCAAGTGCTGACGCATCTGCCAAATCGAGTGGAGTGCAGCAAAAGTTACAAGTGCTTGAAAAATATATACAATATGTACTCGTATAATGAGCAATGTTGCTGCCGCTCCTCATTAAGAGTGATCCATCGGTCCAACCAGATTTCTGCATCATTTCAGTTATGGCTGCGATGCGTTCCGCAATTATTTTTATTTTCTTAATTCAATTTAAGTGTCATACATCTTTTTTTTTGGAGCTGTGGCATCTTGTCGAGATCTCTTTATGGCAAAAGAAGTATGATCTGCAGATTATAAGATGTGTTTCCATTTAATGAGGAAACAATGGTGCTGTGCTGAAGGGAAATTCTTCAAGACTTGCAAAGTAATTCTTTCTTTGCTATTTTACACTTCAGTTTTATCACTTTCTTTGAACATATGGTCTCGTTAATGTTATAGCAATCTAATGGTCAGATATGATATCTATTTCTTTGTTAAATAAACAACTGATGGAACTCTGAATACACTCAGAGAAAAAAGCGCTAAATCATACTCAAAGTATCTATACACGGGATAGATATAGATACACATCAAGGGTATTCTTTTTGCTGCTTAAGCAAGTAAGATGGGGGTGGGTGGATTGTCACCTAGTATATATACGTGTGTATTGTTGTGTTGTGTTTCTTCTTACTATAAACTTCTTTCCTGAGTAAAGTTCTTTGATAAATAAACAACTCTGAATACTGATTCATTTAACAGTTTACTCGCTAATGTGTGTATATATGCAAGTGCCGTTGTAGCCAACAGTTTGCGAGTTTGCCAGTTGGCAAAATTCGAAGAAAGTCTGCAAAACTCCCATAACAGATAACTGAATAATGAACAGACCATATTATTCATAGTAAGTGTTCGGGTATAAAAGCCAGCCGTCCAGCGGAGGGATTCTCAGTTGTCTACAAGTTCTCCAAGCAAGATGTCCTTAGGCTGTACCTGCCTGACTCTGACGTTTTTTCTGGCTGGATGTATCTCTGGCGTGTCGGCGGCGTTCAAGTTTAACCCCAACCTCTACTGCGATCTGCCGTACTGTGGACCGCACAACCTAGTTTGTGTGAAGAGCGTAGATATATGAGAATCGAGTAACTTCTTTGGGCTGTTCCAATCGTATATGCTTCTCTTAGAACTTCACCTTTCAATGCAAGCCCTCGGGTAAGTTTGTGAACTTGCGGCACCACCAGAACGAAATAGTTGGGGCGTTGAATAGCTTTCGGAATAAGGCCGCCACCGGAGTGACGCGATATCTGCTGCCGGCCGGAAGGATGGCTCGTATGAGCTGGTCCGAAGAGCTCGAGTACTTCGCCAGGGCCGATCTCATGACCTGCATGCCCCTGCCGCGCCCCTGCATGACATCGCCGAATATACCCAACATTGGCAGTATCTTCGACACCACCGCCTACCCGGGAAAGGAGAAGAAAAACGTTGACGTGGTCCTCAGTATGATAGCAGGATGGGCAAAGGAGGCACAGTATGTGACCAGACAGCAAACAGTATACCTTGAAGAGCGCAAGGATTCTAGGTAGCGTTTTCCTATTGTTTAACAATATTTGAATCACATTTCTGTAATCGAATCCCCAGATCGACATACAAGCCAGTTCTGCTGATGACGGAACGCAATACGCAGGTGGGATGTGCTGGTTTCAAATTTACCCAGGACCGAATCAACTATTTTTACGTGAGCTGCTGCTTTTCCACAGTCGGCATGAAGCACACGGCCATCTACCAAATCGCCTTGAAGCCGGGTGTGCTCTGCAAGCGTCGTGATGTCAAATATAAGAATCTGTGCGCCATCGGAGAGAAGTATCCGGAGAATACGCAAATTTATTCCGATCAATACATGTGATGGATAAAAACTACTCCATGATAATATATCCTCTCATAAGGGCATACTCGTAATATGCATGCTCTGTGCAAAAACCTCACGTGTTGTGTGCGCTAATTTATGACTGTCACTGTTCACGTCCCAGGGGCCGGAGGGTAGGCAAATGGGTGTTTTGGGACCTGCATAAAAGGGACTGCTGCAAGGAACTCCTCCCACAGAAGCGTTCCCGCAAGCACACGGCATGAGGCAGCAGTCGATCCTTCAGTTAATCCTCGTGGCTTGCCTGAGTCCTGGCTGGGAGTGCTTCGAGTTGCAGTTTCTTCGGCAACTTAAAAGCGAGCTGAACTTTGAGTTTGTACTGCTGCTCGGAAATTCGGAACCCATTTGGCTAAAGAGCCTATGGCAGCTGCCGGTGTCCGTCATTCAGATGGATGAGAAGATCCCCCACGTGAACTATAATCTGAGTCAACATCATTCGAAGAACTTCCTGAGCATTGGTTTTGTGAAAGATTTCCCCGATCGATTGCTTGAGGTTGTCCACTTAAATCTGAGAATGCTGAACACCGTGCCGATTCTTTTCGTGATGAGAAAGCGGAGGATGCGAGTGCAACCGCTGCTGGAATGGTTCTGGCTGCATGATTTTCTCAATGTCTTGGTCATTTATGAGGATTTCAAGGTAAAACAGAATAGCCAGAGGAATATATATATATATATATCATCTGTTGCAGGAATCTTCCCAAACCATCTACAGCTACACGCCATTCCCCATTTTGCAGTTCATTGAGAGACGCCTCGAGAATACCACCATGCTATTCCCTCCTCGAATGTCAGATCTACAGGGCTATCGACTGCCGATTGCGGTGGGCGGGTCATCACCGCGTCTAATCGTGTACCGAGGGACCAATGGAGAACTCATATACTCCGGGCTGGTCGGTAATCTGATGAAGAGCATCGAGCAGCGGTTCAACTGCCGTCTAGTGCAGCCGCATCCGTTGAATGAGTCCGCCATTCCGCCGGCTCTGCAACTGATTGGGGCAGTGCGTAACGGAAGCGCAGAGTTCGCTCTGGCGGCCGTCTATCCCCAGGGGCCCTTCGTCGGCTTAACGTATCCTTTCGAGCTGATGAGCTGGTGCCTGATGATGCCTGTACCGGAGGAGATTCCACGCAGCGAGCTGTACACCATGGTATTTCATTGGCCGGCATTTCTACTCATTCTCCTGGCTCTAGTGGCCATTTCTCTGATTTTGGGCCTGTCCCTGAGGCTCCATGGATATCGGGTGCAGCCGACTGAGTTTTTCCTGCACAATAGTTGCCTGAGGGGACTGCTGGGACAGTCCTTTATCGAGGTCTTTCGAGCTCCCCCTCTGGTTCGCGGTATTTACCTGGAGATATGCGTGCTGGGTATTCTGATCACCACCTGGTACAACTCCTACTTCTCCACTTACGTGACGAGTGCCCCGCGGCGACCTCCATTTACCAGCTACGAAAGCATTGCACGTTCCCAAACAAAGATAGTGGTATGGACCTCCGAATACCGTATACTTTTGAAGTACTTCAGCAGCATCGAGGAGTATGAGTCCATGTTCCAATTCGAGCCGGACTACAATAAGTTTTTAGAGTTGCGCGAGTCCTTTAATACGCAATATGGCTATATGCTGCCGCTGGAGAAGTGGCTGCTGATCAGTGAGGAGCAGAAAATCTTCAGTACGCCACTCTTCACAATGCGGGAGGATCTCTGCTTCTTTCACGCCATTCCCATTGTCTTTCCGATCAAGGAAAATAGCATCTTCCGGGAGGCCCTGGACCGCCTCATACAGGAGGTGCTGGCAACTGGTCTCCTCAATCGCTGGCGGGACATGGCCTTCACGGACATGATCAAGGCGGGTCAGTTGAGTCTTGTCGATCGAGGCAAGCCCAAGGACTTTCAAGCCATGCAACTGATGGACTTGCAACACATTTCGGTAGCCTTTGGCTTGATGATGGCTTTGGCAATTGTAGTGTTTCTTCTGGAGCTGATGTGGTTCTGGCGTCATCAAATAAGGGTGAGACTCGGACAGGTATGGTAAATATGGTATAGAATCTAGTGTACGACGGAATCGATTTTCGATTTAACTGCACTCAGAGAAAAACAGCTAAGTTCAAATAAATTGATGTTAATATTATTATCATAAAATACTGGTTACAAAATGTTAATTGTTGAGTTACAATACAACTCACCCAATGATAACAAAAATCTTTAATAGTCCAGTTCTAAATTTAAAAATTATTAAATTAAAATTAAATGTTCTGTTTTTAGATAAAACGATAATAAAATGAAATATAATTCACTTTGATTTATATGTACATAAATTTATTTTAAAGTCTTTTTAATATGGCCATTATTTAATTCAAATCCAAAATACTTTAAAATTATTAAAGTATATTAAATCTATAGGAAATATATTTAATCTAAACATGTAAATGCTTAATTTGAATATGAAATATACAATTTTTATTTTAATGCCCAGATGTAATTCAATTAACAATTTTCTAGCTAATCAAGTTAAAAAGTAGAAAATGAAAAAATGAAGTTTTTGAAATGTTTTGATACATTATTAAAAGGAACGATTTTCTTTGAAAAGTATCTCCGAATAAAGTCTGCAATTAGGTATTCGGATATATGGTAATCTAACAATTACTTTATATCACAGTTATTGTACGAGTACATAACCCAGACCCAGGCGTGATTTCAGTTGTTGCCTTGTAGTCCCGGGGGAAATATGTTTTTTTGGTTTTCGACTTTTTCTCGATTTGGGACTTGTTAACATGGTCCGCTAATTGGATTTGGCCATTAGCCGGTGTCGTCGGCGGATTCATTAGCAACCCTTTAAATGTGCAGCGGCATCAATCAGTGTCATGCAGTGGTGCCTCGTCCATCGTGATGTATTGTCCGTGTCTGATGCTTTCCTGCTTTTGTCTGATTTGCTTGGGGGCGAGTGGCTCAAAGGTTGTGCAATTGCTGGACAGGATACGGCAGGAGTCTCACTTTGAATACCTGCTGCTGATGAAGAACAGGAATGCCACTGTGCCGGATCAGGCTTGGAATGGCAGCACACTGGCAATGGAGCTCATGGATGAACTGAGGGTCCCTGTGCTGCAGCTGGATGAGAATGTTATCTACTTTCTCCACAATGGCATCCACAGTCGACTGGTGACTGTGGTATACTTGAGCAGTGGCAAGCTGGAGGAGCACGATGGTTTGCTTAAGGCGTTGGTGGCCAATCTCAAACACATGACCACATCGAGAGTCATATTTCTGATGGAAACGGAACCGGCAAGTGAAGGACTACTCTTTGATATATTTGCGCATTGCTGGAAAATGACGGTACTGAATGTCCTGGTCTTATTTGCGGATCACGAGGTGGGTAGAGGAAAATTCATGGATTAAAGTAAATGGAGCTATTTCCTTTTTCTTCTAGAAAACTCACACTTTCTACCGCTACTCGCCTTTTCCCCATCTTCACATAGAGGAGGGAACCTATGACTCTCCACTGACAATTTTTCCGAATCGACTCCGGAACTTCCTTGGATATCGGATGCCCACGATTATTGGGGGCACCTCGCCACGCGTTATAGCCTATTACAAGCGGGGCAAAGTGGTGTACGAGGGTACTGTTGGCCACTTCATGGACGTCTTTCAGCGGAAATACAATTTCAGCTTCGTCCAGCCGCTTCTGCCGTCGAACCCGACTGTCTTTGCCCCATCCATGCAGACGGTGGCCGCTGTGCGCAACCACACCGTGGAGGTGGCCATGTCGCTTACCTTTCCCACCATACCGCCCTTCGGCTTCACGTACCCGTACGAGCAGATGAACTGGTGCCTTATGCTGCCCGTCGAGGCAGACGTCTCCACGCCGGAGTACTACACAAGAGTGTTCGATCTGCAGGCCTTCCTGGTGACCCTGTTTACGCTGGTGGGGATATCCTTTCTGCTGGCCATGACTCTGTGGCTCCATGGGTATCGGGTGGCTCCGTATGACTTCCTCCTGCACGAAAGCTGTCTACGCGGAGTGCTGGGGCAGTCTTTCGTTGAGGTAAATCGAGCTCCCACTCTTGTTCGTGGCATCTATCTGGAGATCTGCGTGCTGGGTATTCTCATCACGTCCTGGTACAACTCCTACTTCTCCTCCTACCTGACCACGGCGCCAAAGGAGATGCCATATCGCAGCTACGATGACTTATATGCCTCCCGCTTGAAGGTGGTGGCCTGGAAGCCGGAATATGAGGAGCTGATTGGGCGGCTCGCAGAGCTTCGGAAGTACGAGTCCATGTTCATGGTAGTGCCAGAATTCAGTCGCTACATAAGTCTGCGCGACTCCTTCAACACCAGGTACGGCTACATGATGCACACCACCAAGTGGATGGTCGTCACCGAGCAGCAGAAGGTCTTCTCGAAGCCCCTGTTCCGGATGCGTGAGGATTTCTGCTTCTTCAATAACATACCGTTCGGTTTTCCCATCAACGAGAACTCTGTGTTCCTGGAACCGATTCTCACGCTCATCATGGAACTCGCCGCAACGGGCCTCACTTTGCATTGGATGCAGACCGCCTTCTCGGAGCTGATCGAGGCAGGGGAACTGCACTTCCTCGACCTGAGTCCCCACAGAGAGTTCCGGGCCATGCAGTTAATAGATCTGCAGTATGTCTGGTATGGTTTCGCCTTCATGTCGGCGCTCTCCTCAATCGTCTGGCTACTGGAGGTGGTCCGGCATAGACTACGCAGACGAGGCGAGGCGCGGCGCGGCGCGGCGCGGCGGCTAGTTAAATGAAGGCATCCCTCTAATATTTTTATGGCCAGGCTTATGGATATTTGACTAGCCATCGCAGATAACTTTCGTTTCCACGAGATCAGCGTGGCTGTTACCCGATTTTCATTGTGCAAAAATATACTCTCTTATTCGTACGTATGCCGCAGCCTGGCTCAGAGTTCAAACATCAAAAGCAATTAAGACGCGTGCTTGTTGCGGCTCCCGCTCCCCCAAAGGTGCCACGGTCTGCGGCAGCGACAGCGACAGCGGCATCCATGATGTTAGCCACCTGTGCGACGGCCACTGGCGCCTCTTGAAATTCCCTAATCGACATGTTTCGATCTCAAATGACTTTTTGCCGCAACAGCAGAAGCACCAGCAGCAGCAGCACCAGCAGCAGCTGGAGCTGAGGCATCAGTCTCTGTGTCTCGGTCGTGTGGTGCCTGATCTCTTCGGGTGAAAAATTTTCTCTAATCTACGCTGATGGCTGCTGGTGGCGTTAGCCGTTTGCCCATTCGGCCGTTCGGCCATTTGGCGCATGCGGCACGCATTTGCAGCCATCCACCAAATGAGGCACTGATGCCCAGGCTGTGGCGGTAGCCAGGTACCGAGTACTTTGATTTTGACTGACAAGTGCCGCCTGCCTGTGGGCCCCGGCTGCGTCTCCGGTTGACATGCGCAGCTGCAGCATGAGCTTTCATGTGCGGCTGCGCGCTGGTCTTCCTTTATTGGAGAAAATTATTTCAATCTGCAGAGACTCCGGTACGACTCCGTAACGAGTGGCAGAGGCTGAAACTAATTAACCCAAGGCAGGATCAATGCAGACACGAAGCGAAGCGCATCTTAATTGTCAATAAAACGTTTAAGATTTCTTTATTTTTTAATGCTTGCAATACTAATAAAAATATTAATGCAAAACTTAACCGCAAATGGATATGTGTGTGTCGAGTGTGTGTGCATAAATAATAACTAACAAAGATTTAACTAAGATTTTTTGTTGATGTGTGTGGCTTAGCCTAGGGTTCAATATAAAACAAGGATCGATCGACCTCTCTCTCTCGCTAGCTAGTAGCTCTCGAGCTGTCGTATGTATGTACATATAACTACTAAATTCAATAAATTAGAAGACAAATACTACTCGTATTACAAGAGTTTACACACAGTTTATAACAAATCGATTAAATGTTACATAACCCAAACACCATTGAAGATATGCACTTATATAATATATTATAATGGAATTACCTTTTTTAAAAACTATCACAAAATAATTGGCAGTTTAATTAACCATTAGTTATATTTAACCTACGCTTAACCTCTCTAACGCTCTCTTTCTCTTTAACGTTGTCTATACATTTAGGGGCACTATTTGTATTATTATTTGTTTTATGGTATGTCGTACTACGACTCGTGTTTTATCAAATACAAAAATAATGGCAAGTGCAAGTTGAGTTTGTTTAACGCATTGTTTGTAGATTTTTATACATACATCATTATTTTACTTGTGCCCTCCTCTACTGAAGAAGAATGCCTCTTTGAAGTCGGCGAACACTGGCAGGGGGAGCAGGCAGGGGCCCAAGAGATCAAAGAGATTCTTGAGGGAGGAGAGAAATTGTGGAAAGTTCTTGGCAGAAGAAATAAAGACTGGCCCTGGGTCAGTGTTCTTGAACATGGACTCAAGCATTTGGCATTCCCTTAGCTGGCTGTTTACAAACTAATTGGATATAATTAGTTAATCAATTAATTAGTTATATACACAAAAATTATGCTAATTTGGGCAATGCAACTAAGAAAAACAAAATACTTTCAATTTACAGGAAGAACACGCATTGTTTTCGAGACGAAGAAGAAGTTTGTGGATTGGTTTTCTAAGAGTTTCAGGATGTCAGGATCGTAGGACGTCGGTTGTTGTAGGGTAAGTATTTCTTTTAGCAGGGAAGCGTTTGGCCTCATTTTGATATCACCACGCGTAGAATTGCTTCATTAGCTTGATTACACTTATACGTATCTCTATTTAGTTTAATTGTAGGTTCTATCTGGTAGTAGCATTAATTAAAATCTTCAAAATTTGGCACATTTAAATTTAATTTGTGGTTGTGTCTTTAAGCATTAAAATGTACATTAAGTTGAGTATTTTATTTGGAAGTGCTTCGAGTGTTGGTTGGTATATGTTCGAGTTCGAGTAGGTATATAGGAATTGCACAGAAAGCTGAATATAGGAATTCTTCAATGACGTAAATTCGAGACGGAGTGGAGTATGGGATATCCCCATATCCCTCCAGGAGTATGTATTCGAGTAGCATATATGTATATATAGTTTTCATTTAGCTTTTGTCGTTGTGTGTGTGTGTGTGTGTGTGTGTTTTGTGAGTAAGGAACAAGAAATAGTTTCGTTTGCGGGGACTTCTGCCGTCGTACTACCGATTCGTGAGCAGGCCATTGGCTGGGGGCAGGATGCCAGGCGGAGTGTTCGGATTGCTGATCATCCCAGGCAGTGACGGAGTCATCTGCCGCTGCTGATTGATGGATGCTGCTGCTGCGGCCGCTGCCGCTGCGGCTGCGGCTGCCGCAGATGATCCGCCACTGGATCTCTGGTGCTTGGAGGAGCTGCCCTTGATCAGGCTTCCATTGTTCTTTTGGGTCATGTGCGTCTGGTAGTGCTTAGCCAGGTGTGCCTTCTGCCGGAAGCTCTTGCCGCACAGGGAGCAGGCGAAGGGCTTCTCGCCCGTGTGGGTGCGGATGTGGACATTCACCGAGTACTTGTCCTTGAATCCCTTCGAGCAGATAGAGCAATAGTGCAGGGAGCGCTCTTTCCGCTGACCACCACCGCCACTGGCCGAGGAGGAGGAGCCACTGGAGTTGGCAGGCGGACTGTTGCTGCTGCTGCTCGCACTGCCGCTGGATGATGAGCTGCCACTTCCCGCACTGCTGCCCATGACCACGCCCAGTGCTCCTCCTCCGCCGCTGCCGCTGCTGCTGTTGTTGTTGTTGTTGTTGTTAGCCACATTGGGATTGTTGTTGTTGTTGCTGCTGCTGGTAGTGCTGCTGCTGCTGCTCCGTTTGTACTGCTTCTTGGGCTTTGAGATGCCACTGCCAGATCTGCCAGGATGGTTGGCGGACGAGCCTGCTCCGCCCGTGGGCGGTGTTGATGTGCTCACTTCCGGCTTTAGTGGCTGCGGCGGCTGGAGCTGATTGGCCGTCGTGATTGCCGTCGGATTCGGGGAGATTTGCATGAGGACATCGGTGGCACTGCTGTAGTCTGTGCCAGGCGTGGGCGTCGAAGAGCCTCCGGTGCAGAACTGCTGCACCTCGTTGGCGATGCGCTTGATCTTCTCAAAGTCATCGCTGAAGGCGTTCTCCAACGACAGGAACATATCGTCCACAATGATATTGGCATTGCCGTTGTGCTGCTGCTGTTGCTGTTGCACCTGCTGCTGCTGCTGCTGCTGCTGGGATGTGAGATGGACACCAGCCATGCCCTGAGCCTCGTCAAACATTTGGGCGGCATTTAGCGTGGAGTCGGCAAAGCCCAGTGCATCGGCAGCATCGTCCGTGAAGAGCAGGCGCCGCATATCCTCCTCCTTGACGACGGGCATGGCTAGGCCGTTCTGCATATGCAGACCCTTGGAGTACCCCTTACCCTGGAGCGCGCTACGTAGCAGTGACTCCGCCGTGCTCTGCTCCGTCTCGGCATTGTGATCGGCCATATGCCAGTCGTTGTTGTTGTTCTGGAACTGGGCCAACTGCTGGCCCAAGTCATTGCCCCCCGCGATGGAAATGGCCGTAACGAGCGAGGGCAGCGTCTGTGTGGGGCCCTGGGAAATACTGCTGAGACCATTGGCATCTGCCCCGTTCACGATCACATCCTTGCCGTCCGTGCTGAAGCCGCTGTCGTCGTACGGATACTCCGACTTGATGTACCCCGGAAAGCTGCCCAGAAGACTGTCCAGATCGAGGGAGCTCGGCAGCTGCTCTGCCTCAGAGCGCTTCAGCCAGGGCTCGCCGCCGTTTAATACTGTCAGGGTGTAGATCTGTCCGTCGGTGGTGTCCAGGCTGCTGATGGTGTCGCTGCTGCTGCCCGCCCCACTGGAGGCTGCCGAGGAACTGCTGGGATTGGGCTGCTGCTGCTGTTGGTGGGCATGCGAATGCTGCTGCTGCTGCTGCTGGTGGTGGTGCGACTGAGGAGACGTGGGACTGGGCTGGTTGGTGGCTGTGGCTGTGGCACCACCATTACCAGTGTTGGCAGTGACCGGCTGCTGTTGCCAGCAGTAACGATCGAGGTCCTCGAATATGGAGGTAGAATCGAGGCGACTGCTGTCCTTGTCCTGGTTCCAGAACTGAAAGGATAAAAAGGACACAAAATATGGGATATTATAGACAAGGAGTTGTTTACTATATCGATCAGATGGGCCAATGTAGTGTGGTAATTTTGTATATTTTTTGGTATATATTTTTCTTGCAGTTTTTGCTGTGAAAGATCTGCGACCTACCTCATAGCCCTGTAACGTGGGATCTCCTCCATTGCTGCTACCATTTCGATTGCCCACGGGTATCACGATGCCACCGCCACCTCCTCCTCCTCCTCCTCCCCCTCCACCGCCGCCTCCCCCACCATCGTGGATCATGCTGCTGTTGGTTCTCGCACCACCGCCGCAGAGGGCCTGCTGTGGTGATTGGGTGGAGATGGAGATGGTTGGCTGGTGCACCACTTGAACGTGGCTGGCGGTGTGACTGTTGTGCTGACTGTGGTGGTGCTGCTGCTGGTGGGGCTGCTGCTGATGGTGCTGCTGCTGGTGCAGGCTGACGCCCAAGGAGTCGACGCCCACACCAATGCCGATGCCCATGTCGGGGCCAGTGACAAAGTCGAAGAAGTCCGCCTTGGAGAGATCCTCGGCACGAAAGGATTCGCTTATATCCATGCCAGCCGATGCGGACATATCCTCAGTGCCGATCATTTGTTGTGCCTGAAGCGCCAGAGTAGCGCCTTAAGTCGACAAGTGTTGGCTAATGCTTGTTGGATATGCTTGTCAGTGTTGGTTAACTGCGGAAGAGACTGAATAAAAGAAAGTTGATTAGTCGGAGGGATTCGAAGAAGTTCCAGGAAAATTGCGTCTAAGTTATTCCTGTCGTGATTTCGTTTTCATTTTTGGTTTCTCCATTTCTCTGGCCAACACATACACAAACGCACACACAGGCAGAGCACCACTCTCTGACACACCGATTGATTAAAGCCACTTGTCAGACGGCCACTTAAGTCAATCAGTCATTCACTCGCTCGCTCGCTCACTCATTCTAGCCGCATTGCCTGGGCCTGCATTCCGGCCATACTTGCATTTTAATTTGAGCCGCTCTTGGCTTGGCTTTTTAGCCGGCTGGCTATCTGCAAACGAATAAATCAAGCTGACAGAAGGGTGACAAAGTGTAAACACATTTGGCGTGCCCGCCTCGTAAATCTCTTGCCGCTGCGAAGCGAAGGCGAAGGCGCACTTGGACTTTGGCTAATGCCAAACTCAAACCAAACTCAACCTGTCATTGCGACAGTTTTTTTCTCTTCTTTTTTTTTTGTTTTGTTTTTTTTTGGCTGTTTCCCCTACTTTGCGGTCCATTCTTGTTTCTCTCAGCTTTTGGCTTGTTTCATTTGCATAGATTTGGCAAGTCAGACAGGCGGACGCACAACGAGCCGGGCATTTAGAATAGTGGCTTGCATAAAAGTACGTACTCGCACAGGGAAATGGGGCTCTTAAGTATTTCTGGATTGTAATTATGGAGATCGTGGGGATTATAGTTTGTATAATAAAAGTAAAATGACAGAAAGCTCACAATATATAAAATAATTTGATCATCAACATGTTATATAAAGTCAAAAAAAAACGAAATACTCTGCAGTACTCTCCCGCAGAATCAAATAAGTTATCGAGTATCCTATTTCCCTGCCCTGTGCTGTACATTGCCGCGCCAGTTCAGCTTGATACTGGCTACTGTATATTCCCATATCTGCAGAATTACACACAATATATTCATGTGTGGTGTACCCCGAAGGTGATCGAACTGACAGTCCGGCGCGCTGGGTCTATTGCCTCTTCCCTCCTGCTTCTGTGCCTGTATCTGTATCTAGTTGTGCCCCCAAGTCGTGTTCTAGCAAATGTGCCAAATGTTCAAATTGTCAAATTGATTTGACTCTTTTTTGTTTATTTATTCGCTGGAAACTGACTCAGAATCGTATAGTTCTCTTATATGTGTATGAAAAATGGACCTTGCGGCGATTCTGTTGCTGTTTCTGTGGCGGTGTGGCAGCGTGGCAGCGTGAGAACCACAAACAAAAATGACTTAACAAATTTGCATTGCTGGTGTAGTCGCAGTCGTACATAGAGCTCTAGCCCGTACCCCGGCCTGCATACTTTAGATAAGGGCAGAGCGTACGAGAGAGAAAATACCGCTGCTGGAAAATATTTTAGATGCTGCCCGGGCTGCCGCTGCTTCTAGAGACTTTTAAGTGCAATATCTGGGGAGAAATCAAACTGGCATGGGGCTCTGGAAATACTTAGCTGGGAGACGGCCACGGCAGCAGCATCAACACCTGATCAAAGACCAGGCCAAAGAGGAGAAAAAGCGGCAACAAGTGCAGACCATTTGTTAAGCGGTCAGTTAACATTTTTAAGGCTCTTAAGGTGAGCTCGTTTTCCAGTGTTTTCCCTGGCTTATCGCCCCCCGAACATCGGACCCCGCTCGAGACCAGAGCTGCCCAAAAATATGGCAAAGCTCTGAAAATTTCACCGAAAACACCGAAAAGACCGAAAAGTCTGCGTAATCATTTGTGGTCATTTGCCTGCCAACTGACAGCCCAACCTGCTGCTGCTGCTGTTGCTGCTTCGGCGGCCTGCCTAGTAGTTTACTTAATAATCATGTTTAAGATGCAGAAATTACTTTATATATACTTTATGGCCGACAGCAGGGAAACGCTTCGCGAGAGAAAGAGGGAGAACCGTGAGGGGGGGAGAACTCGCAGAAATATGAAATAAAATAATAATCCTTTGTTTGAGCATTTTGGCGCTCAAATATTGACTAATTTGAGCACGATTATTGTGATTTGGATGCGGGACGGAGTCCAAAACGGAGTCTGAACCTGAGCCAGCACCAGCACCAGCACCAGAGCCTGGGCCAGAGTCTGAGTCTCAGAAAGAAAGTTGGCCGGCCGTCGAGACGTGCTCATATAACTGGCGGCCAGCCAATCATGGACGTGGTCTATAGATGTGAATGTGGATGTGGATGTGCATGTGCCGGCACATGCATCTTCCCATCTTTGCTCGTTTCTGTGCCATGATGAAGATGCATGCAAGTGCAACTGCAACTGCAACTGCAACGGGGTATCGGTGCTGGCAGGGGGTCTCAGAGGGGATTGGAACTGCATTTTATTTCCCTCCCAAATGCTGCATGGTAATCGCAATCGTAATCGTAGAAATTGTTAGCGCATTTTGGCAAATGCAAACAGCCCGAGGCGGCATCATTTTCAAAACATGATAGCATGATGGGTTTTTATGTTTGAATAACTATCTATGCATCGGAAGGGGGGCTCTGATGTGAGTGGGGGGGGCTCGGTTTCGGGCTATCAACTAGTGCTAGTGGGTAATAAATAAAAATGTTCCAATAATTGAAAGGCTTTTTAATTAAGCCAAGCTCTGAAGCCCGTTGGCTTAGTTATTTGCATACTTGAGTGCACGAGTAGGGAAACTGGAAATTTTCAATTTGAGCACAATTTCTTTGGTCTGTCCAGGTCATGATTAGGCCCAAATCCCTCCCCATCCTCACAATCATCAACCATTGTTGCCGGCATCGTCACATGCTAAAAAGCGGAGACAAACCAGAAGAATTACTCGCAAAAGCCAGGCAGGCAGGCAGGTAGGCCCATCGTCTGGGATTAGTTTATGTGCAGGAATTTTTATATTGCGGTTACACAATTTTCTCTCAATGGTTGGGCTTTCCTCCCTCCTGGCAGACAATCAATGAAAATCACACGCTTTGGCAGCTTCTGCTTTGGGCCGCTTTTTCTTCTCTGTTGAATTTGTGGCTGCTGCTGCTGCCGTTTGTTGTTTCTGCTGGCTACTGCTGTTTTAGTCGCTTTGGTTGCACGATTTTCCACGCATTTTTAACCCAAATACCTTGCTAAACGATTTTTTAATGTCTTCACTAACAAGTTTCAATTACCAATCGTCGAATGCGTTTGCGTGTGCGTGTGTGTGCGCAGACAGCTCGGCTCGGCTCAAATAAAAGCCAAAACCAGTCGCCAAGTAAAACCCACACGACACCCCCTCTTGCGTTGGCTCAATCAATTAAAATAATTCCAACAATTGCAAGCAAGAAATTTCAAAAAAGAAGATTGAGGCATAAAGAAGACAATGCGGCTCAATGGAAAACCTGCTGGTCAGGCTGCAGGCCAGAGCAGAGGAGAGCAGAGAAGAGCAAAGCAGACCAGACCAGACAAGACCAGACCAGATGACGACTTTGAGTGGATTCACGTACCGCAATCAAATTGCACTTCGATTGGCCAAAATGGAGCCATCATCAGCCGATGGAAAGCAAAGCGGTACTTGTTGATGATCTTCTCTGTAATCACATTTATTGAGATAAACGATGGGGCGTTCTGCGTTGCGTATACGCAGTGTGGAGTGCGGAGTGCGGAATGTGTGCGGCTGCACAATGTGATAATTATATAAGAAAATGGGTTAATCATGGCCTGGCTCTGTGTACTTAATGGCGTGTCATGGCCATTGCATACTTTTGGGGGGTACACTCCAAGCATGTTTGTTCAATCATTACGCACAGGAAATGCCAAATATTAACGACCTGCCATATTTTCATATTCGAATTGTGAAACTGTTTTTCAGCGCCGCATAAATTACAAAACTCATTTGAAAACCGCTCATAAAACGCACACAAAACGCATCAAAAGCGCACGGGAGCTGAAAAGTTATGGCTCAACTGTGCCTGTATGGCAGTGTGTTAGAGTGTGGCTTGCAGCATGCAGCTGCAAGTATTTCTGCATATATTTTTATCCCGCTCTTCATTGCAAATTGTCATCGTTAGCCGAGTGAGACCACTCTCCAGCGGCAGACCATAAGCCAGTCGATCATTTTTCAAAGAGATAATTATCGCCCACCAGTCTGGTCTGCCCCCAAATACTAGCCGGATACGCCAATCGGCTGCCGCAGTGGCGTGGCACTGCCTGTTGACCAATTGACCAATAGCTCAACGGCTCTCTTTGGCTGATAAGCAGCTGCTGCTGTGCTGCTGTGAAGTCTGCCTCTGCCTTTGCCTTTGCCACTTGTTGCTTATGTTTCAATTGCATGCAAATGCATAATTGAATCAAATGGTCTTCCCGGTTTCGGCTTCGGCTTCGGCCAACTTTCGAGGCCCCCGCCTAATGAAGCAATCAACGGCCTGGCATCTCAAACTTTTTTGCCGCTCTGCCCCATTGTCAATCAAAAGCCACGTTTTTATTGCGGCCTGCGTTACAAACCAAATCGCATCAAGATGTATTAATCATTTTGGCCAGAGCGGTCTGCGTTGGCGTTGGCAGAGGCAGTGGCAGAGGCAGAGGGGCAGCCAGCGACCAGCAAACGCTGGCATCGCCATCACTTTATCAGCCGGCGCAGATCTCTTTTGGCCAGGCCAGAAAAAAACGCCAAATAACTACAGGCGAGACGGGGCATGATTAAAATGCGCAAAAATGGCCAACTCCAAATGGGCGCTGCTCGGCGGTAAAAGCAACAGCAACAGAAACATTGAGGGGCAACATTGAGAGGCACAACAGCAACATCGAGAGCTACAACAACGGCGTGTGATGTACACGCGGCGCATTTCAATTCCATTTGATTAATGACGAAGCCGTAAAGGCAACTGCAACTGCAACAAGAGGGGCAGGCAGCTAACGAAGATGTTGCTGATTGGCCTGTTGTCTGTTGTCTGCTGTCTGCTGCAGTTGCTTTCCGCTGCTGTTGTCAACTGTCGGATGCATTTGTTGCAACTGCTTAGATTTTTATGCCTGGCCATAAAAAT